GTCACGTTTCTCTTTGACTTCTCTTTTGTTACTTTCACAGTTTCTCTTTTGACTTCTTGAGTCTACGTCACGTTTCTCTTTGATTTCTTTTGTCTATGTCACAGTTTTCGTTGTTTCTCTGATGTCTAGTACAGTTTTCTTTGACTCTCTGAGGTTACTGTAACAGTTTCTGTGATTTCGTTGTTACGTAACAGTTTCTCGTTGATTCCGGTGTCTAACGGTACAATTTTCATTGACTTTTGAGTCTTTTAGAAAGTTCTCATCTTTTTCAGGCTGAAGTTACAACGAATGCTCGATGACATAACGTAATCTGATTTAAACCAAAAAAAAAAGAACAAATAAACCCTGATCAAAAAAAAAGTGACCATGAATTTGAACATTTCGATGTGGTTTTTAAAAAAAAATGTACATTGATTATTTTCACAAAGTTGTGAAATTTCTGCCCGATCCTTGGATTTTTAAACTTTTTTGTTTTTTTTGGTTTTTTATTTTCTTTTTTTTTTTATTGTATGGTACTCCAGCTTTTTTTTCCCCTGAATAATATTATTTTTTTAAAAAAATCCCTTCTTAATTTTTTAAAGGTAAAAAAAAAAACTCTTCAAGAAGGAAGCTGCCAACCACACAGCATGTTGTTTCTTTTGACGAGGATTTTTTTCTTTTCTCTCCTTAGCTGTTGTCTCAAAATTTTTCAAATGACCAGCAGTGCATTTTCCCTGTTCCCAAACATCTTTTTTTTCAGAAGGGATTCTTTTTCCTCTTTTTCAGCTTTCCAACCCCTTTAAAGAAAAAAAAAAAACTAAAAAACCCCCCTGCCCCAAAAAAAGCTGTCTATTTGGGAAATTGTAGTTCCTTAGTATCAGAGTGCCCTGAGGGGGCCGGGAAAAACCAAAAAAACAGTATCAAAAAGCTGATTTGTAAAACGTAGGCACGAAAAGCGGGGTTTCGGGGAAAAAGATTTAAGTCTATATGTGGACGGCGTCTTTTGGGAATACTTCATTGTCTTTTAAAAAGTCAGTGAGAGTCTATCCCCCCAACACCCACCATCTCTTTGAGTGCCCCAAAACTCAGCGAGAAGAATGTTACTCCCTCTGAGAGACCAGATAAGTGGAACGCCTTGTACGGAGAAAAAGAAACAGCTTGTGAAAACATGCAAATTCCACTGCATGGCATAAGGACTGAGGACGAAAGCTTATGCGCCGCTGGATTGATAACAACTACAATCCCCCAACATACGCACACACAACAGAGAGAGAGAGAGAGAAACTTGAGATACCAATGACATACTACTGAATGTATTATTGCCTAGTAAAATCACAGGCAGTCAAGAAATAAGGTTGTTTTGTAATATCCTGTAAAAAAAAACCATAACAGACTTTTTAATAATTTAAAAACAAATCTTTTTATGTGTTTTTAAGGTATTAATTCACCTGCTTTGTATTTGTTTATTGTTGACTTACCTGGATTCATTTGTGTCATCATCAGGACCCGCAGTCTGATGTCCCGGGTGAAAGACTTGACAGGTAAGTAACTGTATTTCATTCCTTGTTTGTATGTGTGCAACTTGAGTTTAAGTCACATTTCAGTTTTGTTTCACTGTTCACTGCAAACTTTGGGAGTCTTCCGCTTTGTTGTGGAGCTTCTTCTGCATTTGCCCTTACAAGGATGGTTGGCATTGTCTGTTTTGGTCTGTTTACAGCCAGGCTGTGGAATCTGCTCCTTTTGGCATAACACATCTGATTTCAGCAAATCCCATGTATGACATGCTTGTTAGGGAGCAGTAAGGCTATCTCCACCACCACAACCACTACATGCACACAAGAGAGGGGGAGAGACACAGACACATACTTACACACACAAACACAACCCCTCCCCTACCACTGGGGTCAGAGAATCCAGACAGGGACTGTTATTTTTTTTTTAACTCATCGAAACTGTTCAGACTTGGCTCTGCATGAGCTAGAGATGAATGTCATCACTTTAACATTGCCTCCCCCTCACGCACACACACGTGTGCTCTCTTTCTCTCTCTGTGTCTCTCTCTCTTTCTGTCTGTCTCTCTCTCTCTCGTCCTGTCTGTCTGTATTAGTGAGAGAACAGACTTGTTTTAAAACAAAACAGACCAGACTGGCTCAACAGGTTTAATCAGTTACCTCTGACTGTAAACACTTCCAAACATTTTATTATTTTGATTTAGTTTTTTTTTTTAGCAGGTGGTCCCACCGGGACCTTTACATAATGTGAAAGTCTTGAACGTTTTTACTTGTAAAATGGCAAATAGATTGACATATCTAATCAAATTCTTGAGTGTGCTCAAAGACTTACTAGAGCTTTTCCTTTATCTTTGCAAACTGTATTCAAACCCCCCTACCCCTTCCAATTTTATTTAATTAGTGACTTTCAGAAACGTCTATGTCTGGTTCTCGGCATACTCCACAATGTATGCAAGCATTTACTTCGCTGTTGAAAATGTGGGGAAGGGTATAGGGTAAGCTGCGCACGATGGCAGAAGATGGAGAGACTTGGCATTAGTTTGTTGAAGGAGTGTGTTTTATTGGAGGATAAAGGACGAAAGAATACTTATCCAACTGTTTTGATGGTGCATTCTCTTCTGTGTTCATCTTCAAGAGGGTGGTTTCTCGTTGTGTTGTAATTTACAGCTAGACTGATCCAACACATCCGGTTTTAGCCACTCCTTAATTAGTTGACTTTTGCCACATGCTTGTTGAGAAACAGTGGGTCTATTATATGTTTACCTAAAATGGAACTCATGAACCCACACAGTGGTTTTATCACTAGTAATTAGGTCTGCTTGACTCCTATTAGCAATGTTGTAATTTATCTGATATGTGTACGTAGAATATGTTTTAAAGAGACAACAAAGGTAATGCCAGCAAAGTCAAATGGCATCACACAAAAATCCACCCAGTGATGAAAACTAAACAAAAAATGTCATAAACAGTAACAGTTTGATCCCAAATAGTTTAGTCTATCTGCAGAGCGGCTTTTGTCCACAGAGGGTTGCACAAAGCATGGACTTCATAGCTCCAGCAGCCACCCCCAGGAATTACCAAAACACATGCATTCTTGAGCGGAGTTGCAGAGTCTGAGATTAGACTCATTGTCTTCAGTGTATGAGAAAATTGGGTTTACCGGTTATGATGTTTCATCATCAGTCACCAGGTTCTATACAGAACGTCACTTTCATCAGGGCACGCCTGAAAGTTTTTCTTTCTCTAGCCAGTTCTCCAGCCCTGTGTGCTTTCAGAGCCAATGCATCATTAGTGTCTTGGATCCACATTAGAGGGTTTCTGCCTCTGGAGAAAAGTGGCATCTTTTCCCCACAATATGAAGTCTCAACTGTTTTTCTTGGCCCATTTTGTTTTTGTTTTCTATTATGAGGCTCTTTGCAAAGAATACCCAACAAAGAAATTTTTCAGGTTTTTTTCTGCCAGCCTAAACATCTACTTTGAGTTGCTCATACAATGGTACAGCAACTTATAAGTTTAATTCATGCCTGAGTGTGGTTTGTATCTCGAAAAAATATTATCTTGAATCTCAGTTTCAATCTTACAGGAATTCATTGAATCCGTACTCAGTCGAATCTTCTTTGGTGGGGGGGGGGGGGGGGGGGGGGTCGAAAAATCAGATAATTGAAAAGAACTACTCTCACTTAACTTTATCAGTGGTGAGAAAGGGTGTTTTTAGGCAATAGATATGCATTTAGTATATCACTCCCATTAAAAAAAAATAAATAATCTTTGGTTTTGCACAAAATATATCACCTTTAATTAGATTGTATATAAAAATAAAATTTGATTAATTTGTCATGAAGCTTCCTTCTGCTTCTTTGGTGAGGATGGTTTTAAAAACATATCTAGCATTGCATGCATCTGTTGTTTCCTTAAGGTTATTCTAAAATGAAAGAAAGCTTGATTAGGATGTCACTTGTTCTCCCCAGTGCTGAAAGATTTTTTTTTTTAGTGTCACATATTAGAAACAATAATTTGCATTGTTTTACCCATAACACCGCCAAGTATTTAAAACTAATTGTTTTGTTTGATTACACAAATACTGAAATACACACACACACACAAAGCAAATATGTACATGCAGCATAGGCCGCACACACCATTCATTGTGCCGTATTAAAGATAAATGTGACTTCGTGAAAACAGATTCATGTGCACCAGGGTTCATATCTCTAATCTATGGGAAAAAAAGGGTTGTATCTCAACAAGTTCATATGTTGGACAGTTCTAGGTCGAGAAACCAGTGTATAATGCGTGCGGCTTCACTGTTTATATTGTTCTGCATTTGTTATTGACTCTTGTTTTGTTCTTCAGTGAGTCTAGATCAGCCAGACAGACATTGTTTCTTTGTCCAGGTCTCATTAAATGTAAACTCTGCCTGTCTTGTCTACGCATCGATGTTCAGTTTGTAGTTTTGCTGGATTTTTTGTGTGTGCAGTTTTTCTTTTTGTGGTTGCCATCATTTCTTCTGTCAGCCTGATGTAACTGCATATACACAGCTTGCGCTTTTGCTGTTTTGCTCTTTACATTATTATGCCCGTGCTCCTGCATTTAGTCATGATGCATTGAGAAGAGTCAAATGTTGTTCCGTTACATTATTCTGCCTTTTTTACCATGTTTTGTTGCATTGTTCAGGTGATCTAACAAAGTTAGGTGTTGTTTCTGTATCATAGTCATTACTGCTTGTACTAAATATCAGCCTACATGACTTATCTAGTCATTAATGTTTAGTTTGTAATTTTCCTGTTTTTTGTGCTGTTTTTCTGCTTGCTGCAGCCGCCATCTCCTCTCCTTATTTTGCTTGACCATAGACAAATATACACTCACTAGTAATATAAGAAGAAGGGCAAGACATATACCACCAATGATAAGACCCTCTTCCAAGTACTCTGGCATTTCGTACACTATGAGAACTCCTGTCTCTGTGTCTGAGCCGGCATCATCATCACACAAGTACGTCCTAGCATCTTGGTGACTGATGTTGGAGATGGTGAGGGTTCCATTAACCGCTTGGATTCGGCCAAACTCAGGGATGGGAACGCTGACGTTCTGCTGGCTGCCGTCATCAACCGACCACCTCACATAAAAGGATTTGGTCTCGTTTTCTGAGTCTCCACAGTTAAACTCCACATCTTCACCTGGCCTGGCAGACTGCATAAAAGGAGTGACTTCCAGTGTAAAGGCAACAGATATGAACATACAAGTAACAGCTAGAATGATAACTTGATGGTGAAACATTTTGATATTAAGTTCCTGAATATTGATTGATAGTCTAGTTTGTGGATGGGGCGCTGTCTGAAATGTTCAGTTTGAATATTGTTCTGGTAAAAGTCACTTCAGTTGAGATAAATGTTCAACTTGACTGCCAAGTGAAAGGATATGACACGATGTTTTAGTGAAAGTTTGGATGTTCGTAAAGTCTCGCGCAGATAGTGTATTTCAGCTCAGTGTGCGTGTTATATACCTGCTTGATTGTCGAGTGCTTTTCCTCTCTTATCTTGAGTGATCCTTGCTCTAGATGTTATGTAATCTCACTGTTAATACTTGTTAATGTTGTCTTTTGCAGTCACTGTGCAAAGGCTATTAAAGTGTTACCAACCGAGCATAGTTGATATATATAGTTTTGTTCTAAAGCTGTATACAGAGTCTTGTTTATTTCCCAGGTTGCTTCTTTCTGTATGTGTTATTTGTTGCAACAACCTGCGTAAGGGTGCTACTTGAATTGAAGTAGTTATCTGGTTGTTTTATACCACTGATTTGCAGTTAGTGTCTTGTATAGTCCCTTGGAAGTTCTTTGTTCTTGTGTGTGTTGTCCGATACAGTCACACCTTGATAATCTTGCTATCTTCTTAGAGATACTGCACAGTTACTATCTGGCATTGAAACTGCAGTTGAGCTGATATCCAGAATTTACCAGATACAGTGTTTAAAAAAATGAATATGTAAATAATTTTAAGCTCAGCTGTGGGCAAGGGGATATGTAGACCTCACCGAATTATCTGCGGCTGATTACATGTATAAAGCACTAACTTGCTTGTTCTTGAGCATGTTATCTGTTGCAAGCACCATTAGGTAATGCCTCATGAATCACTGGCTGTTTATACTTCCTGGTGTACGTGTAACCGTGGCCGTTGATTTGTCTCCCTGCCTTGCTATAGCCACATGATTTGTCTCCCTGCCTTGCTATAGCCACATGATTTGTCTCCCTGCCTTGCTATCTGTAGTAATATCTTCTGGTGACCTTTTTCTTTTTAAACAAGTATTTGCTGTTACAGCTTCACAGTCTAAAACCTTACATTGATACACAGCTTGACCTGTGGTTTTGTGTAAGATGGAAGTTATGTTTCTGAGCTTGTTGGCTGAGTTAGTGATTTTATTTATTCCTCATTTTCTGTCGAGTGTCACTCTAGAGTTGTCAGAAAACAGGACGAAAGTTTTCTCACCTCGTGTAATCTCATTAGATTATATGTCATTATCTGTGAAGATAAGAAGATAGGTTAGTTGGGCAGATATCGTTATTAACATGGGATAAATTAAATAGAAGATCTGAAAAGAAGAATCTGACAAAATTACAGAAGTACAGCTTGCAGTGATGTCTTTAAAGCAAATTTGAGGACATTCAGTGGCTGGGATTTTACTAGGCTATGATTTGTAGGGCTGGAGCATAAGGAGCAGCTCCTCATATGGCTAAGAATGCTGGGGAGGCAAAAATAAAATCTTAACCCGCACTCTCCATGACAGCAGCACAAGCAGTGCAGCCCTAAATCCTGGGACTCAAAGACCTATCCTGCCTACACTACAAAAGTAAATACAGGCATTTTTTGGCAAGTTTCTTCTTCTTCTTCTTCTTCTTCTTTGTTCACCAGTAGTAAGCTCCGGCGTTAAGTCCTGGTTGTTTGTCCATTTGGACTTTGATTTTGTGTGAACATGTGTTTTTTTTGTGTGCAATTGTTGTTCCTTGCTGCTCGAAATAGAAGGAAGCTCCCAGTTAGTCGACTCCTACAACATGCTTGTTGGGGAGGCAGTGGGTCTATTCCTGTTTTATATACAGTAGGAGCTTCGGAACCTGATGGCACATTTAAAGAGATAGGAGTAACAAAAAACATACGTGTCATTGTATAGGGGTGACTTTAAAGGATCTTTTGCATGCCATAGGCACACTGGGCATAAATGCTAGACTAGATAGATTTTTTTTATAGACCAATCGCTACTTGACGGGTGATATGGTCAGCAGCACACTGGCCACCTTTACTCTCCAGGACTTTACATAGTACCCATTTTAGGCCGCATCAACGTCAGAGATAAGGTCATTGTTTTTTTTTTAAACATCTGTTGATGTGAAGTTGAATCCAAAAACCCTAGGGCTAGCCAACAAGTGTCTGGACGCTGAGCCAGAGGTGATGGCTTAGAGGTGATCTTAGCAGTAGGCAGCTAGTAGACAACATCTGTTAGTCTCCACCGTGAAGTGGTCAAGCCATTTGCCTTGTCTTTTGAAGTTTGTGGGTTTGTTTCACGGCTGCACCCTTCAGTTCATGACTGCAATTTTTATGGAGATCCTTGGGGGTCGTTGCTGGACCTACAGAGTTCATGCTGTGTGATGCTCTCAGCAGGTTGCTGGCCATTCTGCGGAGAGAGACTGAGCCATATGGGATTAAACCTGGTGCGATGAAGTCAATCTTCTCGACTTTAACCTGTTGTAGGGAGTTGATAGGTTTATTGTATAAACCTGTAGGTCCTGCCATTATGTGATTGTGTGACCAGCTTCTTTGATATCCCAATATCCTTAAGCGAAAATCGTGTTAGATTCCTGTGGCACTCATTTTGGAGGAGTAATATTATGTCGCTATTCTGACTTGATGCTAACCTGTTGATCTGGTGGCCAAGCATGTTCAAATACATCTCTCTTTTCTTTCTCTCTATTCTCACTCGGTCTCTCTCCTGGCTGTCTATCTTCTCTGTCTCTCCCCTGTCTCTCTGTCTCTCCCCTATCTCTTTCTTCTCTCCCCTTCTCTGTCTCATCCCCGTCTCTCTTTCCCTGTCTTTCCTGTATCACTCATTCTCTCTGTCTCTTCTCTCTCTCTCTCTCTCTCTCTCTCTCTCTCTCTCTCTCTCTCTGCCTGTCCCCGGTCTCTCTTTCTCCCTTTGTCTCTCTCTTTCTCTCTCTTTCTCAAGCCCTAGTTGAAGAAACATCAGACCAAGGGTACCTGAACCTGAAGGCTTGTATGTCGAGCGCCCCCCTCCCCTCTAACCCCCCACATTAGGTTTGTGAAAAGGATATGCAGCACACTTTTTCATTATTTATAGAAATTTCCTTTAAAAGTATTTGTTTATACATTTCATATTTTTTCAAACATTTTTTTTGTGTGTCAGCATGTTATTATTTTATTATTTTTTTAACTACACACTTAAATGTGGATTAGACCCTTGACACACACACACATACATATCTTTTGCCTTGGAAGTATGTAACAATCCCCGCCGCCTGTATAGCACTGTTTTGGCTTTTAATTCTACCGAAACAGTTCAGTTTAAAATTAATGTTACATCCCCATTCTGAGTATCTTATTGTTCTTGTCTGAAGTAAAGTATATTCCTCTGTATATCCAGATCCTCAGTTAGTCTTTGTTAACCACATAAACTATGCTAAAACATGTAAATCACCAGAGCCTCCATTGGACTTTGTTGATCACATATAAACTATGCTAAAACATGTTAATCACAAATAAACGGTGGTAACATCTGTTAATTATAAATAAATGATGCTCAAATCTACGACATAAACTACTAGACACCAGGAATAACTTGAAAGATGCCCCACCAAATATAGATCCCAAACTAACGTCAACACAGCTGTTGTGTTGACTGTCCTGAATGATAACAGGGCTGGACTGATAGCACAGGTATCATACAGTTATCACAACACACTGTGATAAAGATATACTACCGATAACACACCTGTGGGTGGGTGATCGAATATTGTAAGCAGAAGCAGGAGGGGTGTATAAATATTTGATTTATTGGAGAGAGGGAGAGACACTGGTCTGAAAGTTTTGGGTTTGAATCAGCACTAAGCTGATTTGGGGGGAGGGGGGGGGGGGGATACCTTTGCATCTAGGTTGACCTAGCTTATGATGGCCACTGGCAAAATATTCTAGGAAATAAAAGTGACGGGTGATATTGCCAGTGGGGGGGGGGGGGGAGGGGGGGGGCTGCCTCAGTAAATAATGGTGGGGGGGAGGTAGTAACCCCAGGGGCAGTTGGGGGGGGGGGGTTTAATAAATTGATATCTGACTACTATTTACACACAAGACATGTCATAAAGGTGTCTACAGTGTAATGGAAAATAGCATAAATGTTTTTTAAAATATATTTTTTTCTTAAAGTGTTGTTGCGTGGTGCTTGAAGATAGAATATGTCCGTGACTAAACAAGGACTAACTATTTCACTGTAACTTTCACAGGGGGCCTTGGAAATGGCCTGAGTTCAGTTCGCAGCCCATTCTATTTCTTTATGATCCAGCCTAATTTAAAAAAAAAAAGCTCCAAGCATTTTTCAGTTTTCCTATATGGGCTCTTGGGTCCCATTGTGGGGGGAAACCAAGAATAGGCCCACAGACTACGATATGCTTGATAGGGCTGTGTGTATTTTTTCTCCCTCCCCAAATGGCATCCCTGACCCTACATGAGAGCAGCCTTAAATTAGTACCAATGGACCTGCAAGTGGACATTACTTAAAGTGGAAAACTTTTATGACTGAATCAAGTCACAACTTGGTCATTAAACATGAATAGAGAAGTCAGTGTCTTCAAGCACTTAACGCCAGGAAATAGTTAATGACCTAAACACAAATAAAAGCGAACACTCGATGACTTAAACACCATGAACTAGATGTTAACAAAAATACTTGTGTGGGTAAATTTACAACAAAAAAATGTAGTTAGTAAGACAAACATTTCCTGTCACCTGAGATACTGCACCTGTCTGCTCCAGTTTGTCACCTGTGTGTTCGTTACTTTTGATTATGATAAGTGTAGATGCTGTGTAGTGACATTGTTTTCCAATCAGTGAGGGTGGGCTGGGGAGATAAAGAGGGAGGCAGTAGAAGGGCGAGAGAAGGTTATGAGCTTCAGAAGTAATTGCACAGGTGATGACACCAGCTAGAGATGGAAGTGATTGATAGTAAGGTCACCGTTGGTTCCGTTCTGCATGATGTTTTTCTTTCATTAGTTAGGGAAGTAA